GCCGATGATGTTTATGGTCTATCAATAAAATGGTTTCAAATACTAGATAATGTATTAAGTAATTTGGTAACTATTCAGGTTTTATCATGTGTTATAACAAAAATAAGTACATGTTTATTTTTATAAGAAAGCATGCTCTCTCTAATGTATCATTCTCAACTGCCAAGACACTGGCCCTTCTACTATGAAATAATCAGCGTATTTTTCCCTAAGTTCCTGAGCTCGACGTGTTGAGTGGTTCATTAACGCTCTAGGCGGTGGAAGTAAACCAAGTGGCTGTGGCAAATTTCTCCAATTACCTTCCATTATTGTCCCTCTTACTTGATCTTCCAGGTCTACAGAATGGCCGAAACTTGATTCAACGAGTCTTGAAGTCCTGAGTCAGCTATGTAAACCTACTGACCATTATACCAAAAGCGCTTTCCACAATCTTCCTAGCACGCGATAATCGATAATTTAATACCTTTTGCTTAACCCCTTCACGCCCAGTGACGTCATAATTGTCGACAACGTAGAACGGCCGCTTTGTGTTATTTGCCATGAAAAGTTATCAAATGAATCAATGAAGCCAGCAAATCTTCGTCGTCATCTACAAACAAAACATGAACAGTATGTCACTAAAGATATCGATTTTTTTCAAAACAAACTTAGAGATTTAAAAGCAAGTCAAAAGTTGATCGAGAAAACAGCATTTGGGAGTAATAATGAAAAAGCTGTTATTGCTTCATATCAAGTGGCACTACTGATTGCGAAATCAGGAAAACCTCATACTATTGGGGAAAACTTGATTCTTCCAGCGGTGAAAACAATTGTTACGACAATGTTGGGTGATAACGCAGCAAAAGACTTCAATCTGATTGCAGTGTCGAATGACACAGTGAAAAAAAAATTAATAATAGATATGGCAGAAAATGCTAAAACTCAATTAATTTCGAAAATAAAAAACAGTCAATTTTATTCATTGCAACTTGATGAAAGTAAAGACGTTGCCGACAACGAAAATTTATTGGTTTTTATTCGATATGACTGTGAGGACAACATATGTGAAGATTTTTTATTTTTCCAACCACTACAAACACATAGTACAGGAGGAGAGATATTCAAATGTGTAAATAATTTCATAGAAACAAATAATATTGAATGGACAAAATGCATAGGAATATGTACGGATGGGGCTCGTGCTATGAGCGGCACTGTAAGAGGACTTCAAGGTTTAGTGAAAGATGTTGCGCCTAATGCTGCTTGGACGCATTGCTGTATACATCGTGCGGCACTAGCTGCAAAAGGGATACCTACAGATTTAAAGAAAACATTCGATGAAGTTGTTACAGTTGTTAATTTTATTAAAGGTCGTCCATTGAATTCGCGAATTTTTAACCCTTTCAAGACGGTTGTCGTATATACCCGTCACCAACTTTTTTGGCAGACGGACGACTGTCGTATATAGCCGACAGCAGCTCATTTCCCTTCTGTACGCTTGTCGTTTCAGATATGGCATACATAAATTTTTAATTTGGCCCACCGACGGCCGTCGTACCGTTCCGACAGTTTGTGTTTGTCACACAGACGGATGTCGTGGATATCCGACATTGTCGTACATACGCGGCAACATGGCAAGGTCAGGTGATACCCTGATAGACCACGTGCGTTTAGTACCAGTCTGTTTTAGAACATGTTTTAGAATGTCATCTAAAAATCACGCGGGTCCGTCGGGTTGTAATACTTATTGTGGACTGTCTGGGAAGGAAGTGAAAAATATTATGAATGCTCTGAACGATAGTGATATATATTTGAGTGAGGACGAACCATTTATCGACAGTGGCAGCGAATATATCCCTGACTCTGACAGTGAATTGAGCTCCGGAGAAGACGACGAAACCTTGTTGGAAGACGAAAGTACCGAAGAACAAGAACATTTAGTAGCTTCGGATATCTCTGATCAAAATATACGTGAGGAGGAATTTCAGCTAAAATGGGATTCACGTGAGTTTGTTCCTAAAGTTCACCAGTTTGACGTCACTAATAGTGGACTACAGAATAAAAACCTAAAAAATGAAAACAAGGAAATAGAGTATTTCTTGAACCTATTCTCGGAAGAAGTAGTCAACACTATTGTTGCAGAAACCAATATTTTCGCTCAACAACAAAATGCTAAAGATTGGAAAAACGTTGATAAACAAGAGTTTTACAATTTCATAGCCCTCACATTGTTGATGCCCCACGTTAAAAAGTCCGATGTAAAGGACTACTGGTCTACAGATAATTTAATTGGCACGCCCTTTTTCCGCCAAACAATGTCTCGAGATCGCTATTTACAAATACTAAGGCACTTACATTTTAGTAATAATCAAAATGCACAGGAAGGTAATCGTCTGCACAAAATCGAACACGTTTTGAATTTGATACAAAACAATTTCAAAAGTAATTTTTATCCGTTTGAAAATGTCGTCATTGATGAAAGTATGATTCTTTTCAAAGGGAGGCTGTCCTTCAAACAGTATATAAAAACCAAGAGACACCGTTTCGGAATAAAAGTTTATGTCTTATGCGATTGTGAAACAGGTTATGTTTTGGGATATTTGGTATATACTGGCAAAAATAATGTTAAAAATAGAGATAATGACAGCGGTCTAGGATTGTCAGGTGATGTTGTTGTGAAACTTTTGGAGCCCTACCTGAACAAAGGCCATTCATTTTACAGTGACAACTACTACACAAGTCCTACTTTGGCAAATTATCTTTTTCAGCACAAAACAAACTCTTGCGGAACTGTTCGCATAAATCGTAAACACATGCCAATATTTGAAAAAAAGCTGAAGAAAGGGGAAACAGAGTGGCGTAGCAGTGAGCAAATGCTAGTATTGAAATGGAGAGATCGTCGTGACGTGGTAATGCTGACCACCTTTCACGAAAATAAAATGATTACGCTTAGTAAGGTTGATAGGGTTACTAATGAAAATAAGACCAAACCATTATGTGTACTGGCTTACAATGAAAGGATGGGGGCAATTGACAGAAGTGACATGATGATTACCAGTACGGATTGCACGCGAAAAACCTTAAAATGGTACAAGAAATTATTTCTTCGTACCCTCGATATATGCATGCTAAATGCGCATGCTTTATATAAGACCCAGAATGCCAGTAACATCTTATTTCCTGCCTTCCATTTAGAAGTTATCCGGCAGCTTCTGGAAAGGTATTTTTATTCTTTTATTTTTGTAAATTTTTTATCGTACGCATTTTTTAGATATCCAGCGCAATACCAAATGAAACAAAACATACAACCTCCTACCGTGGCCAGACTATTAGGAAAGCACTTCCCTTCAGAAGTTCCTCGCAAAAATGGGAAAGCGCAAATGAGAAGATGCTGGGTCTGCTCGCATACAACAAACGGTGCAAAAAAAAGGAAAGAATCGAGATTCATGTGCAAAGATTGTGAAGTCGGGCTCTGTGTTGCACCATGTTTCCAAATATACCACGAACAGATCAAATATTAGTAGTAGCAGTAGAAACGGGGAAAAAAGACTAGATCAGAAGAAAAGGCTCACACTTATTTTTGATATTTTGTTCCTAATATTTTTATTATTTGTTAATTTTTGTTCTTATATTTTTGCTTTACCAAGAGTTTTAGTTAATTTTGTATTGTTTGATTATTTCTTCAATAAAAACAACTTTTTCCACATTGTCGTATATATTCGACAGCCGCCTGTTTGCCACTGCAAAAACTCCCGTCCGTGTGGCACGCAACCTACTTTTGAGTGCCGTCTTGAAAGGGTTAAAGTTATTTGCGAAGAAATGGGAAGTCAACATAAACAGCTACTTCTCCATTCCGATGTTCGCTGGCTTTCTCGAGGAAAAGTATTAAATCGAATATTTGAACTTCGGGAGGAGATATACTTATTTCTTCTGAAAAGTTATCCAAATTTTCATCTCAAGGACCAGTTTAATGATTTTCACTGGTTAGCAAAGGTGGCTTACCTTGTTGACATCTTTCAATATCTGAACGATATAAATTTAAAATTACAAGGTCCAACTATAAATATATTTGAAGTACAAGATAACATCGAAGCTTCCATTAAAAAGTTTGGCTTATGGACAACTAGAATTAAAAATTATAACATGGAAAATTTTTCAATACTAAACGATTTTCTGGAAAGTTCAGAACAAAAATTGTCTGAATCTATTATATTAGAATTTATTTTTATTCAACATCTCGAAAGCCTTCATATTATTAAGGAGCTATTTTCCAGAACCTAAATCTGAAAATGAATGGATTAGGAATCCTTTTCAATGTAATGATATATCTACGTTGCATAATTTGTCGACATATGAACAGGGCCAACTTGCAGAACTTACTTGTGATGGATCTCTAAAGCAAGTTTTCCAAACCAAAACACTTGCAGAATTTTGGACATCAGTAAGAAAATTATATCCACTAATAGGAGAAAAGGCAACAAAGTTTCTGTTACCTTTTTCGATCACATATTTGTGTGAAAGAACTTTTTCCACATTAAGTTATTTAAAAAATAAATACAGGAATCGTTTAGATGTGGAACCAGACCTGCGATTGAACGTTTCCTTAACCTCACCGGATTTTAAACAATTGGTTTCAGAAAAACAACTCCATCCCTCACATACTAAATACTCTGTTATTTAAATATCTTTTTGTTGATAATAATTAGAATGTATTTTTTTGTATTACTTTACAAAGTTCCTGAAATAAGAATGACTTTTTTTCATTATTCCTACATATGTATTTTTTATTTAGTTTTAATAGGGAAGTTTGTTGAAAGGTTTTATTTTCATTTATTTAACATTAAAATAGAGAAGGGGGTCCGCAAAAAAAGTTTGCTTTTTAAGGGGTACTTAAACAAAGAGAGTTAAAGACTCGTTACCCACTCTTATGTCGTTCAGCTTGGTTAATAAGAATTCAATGAAGGAGTTCTTCTCTTCAGAGTTCTCTTCTCTCAAGATCGCTTTTTCTACTACTTAGAACGTACTACAATGATAGTAAGAGGAACACTGATAGGTTATACAAAATTAAACCATTATTAGAATATGTACAAGAAAGCATTTTACCTATTCTGTAACATCTGTATAGAGTCTATACACACCTGTGTAACCGTTTAATGATTAAACAGTTACACAGGTTTACTTTATAGATTTTATTGGTTGATAATTATTCCATTCCAAATCCATATGTCTTGTTCACTTTCTAAGAGGATCATATCATTTAACTTATCAAATAAAATAAAAAACTTATTTTATTTCATAAGTTACATCATACATGGTGACATCCTGTGAATAAATATAGAATAAGGGGTTGAAGGAACAAAACCATGATAGGTTGCAGATTAACACGCGGAACTGGTGAAATCGTCAAAATTCCTGTGAACTGCTTGCGAACATTTTTGCATACTTTAGTAACAGAAAAAGAAAAATGTAAACTATGTATTTCAAACCAACGTTATTTCAAACAAACGTTTGTCTCAATGAAAAGGAATTTCCAAGCAGATTTATGTGAGTCTTTACTAATACAGCTGTTAACCGCCTAAAGCATACTTTCATGACATTGAGGGGCAGATTGGCATAATGAAACGAAATATATGCGTTAAACGGTTACACAGGTTAACATAGGTTTTATTGGTTGATAATGAGTTCATTCCTAACCCATTTCATTTGTTGGCTTTCTAAGAGAATCATGTTAAATTGAAATCTTTTTGGTTTCTTCCTTTCAGATAGTCTTTTTTTGTGCCTCATAAGCCAGATTCTTACCTTAACAACGTCTAATTACAGTTCTAACCTTAAGAGTTTGTAACAGCTGTTAACAGCTCGCAATATGAATTGATGTGACAAACAAAACTACCATCCATTAACCATTTAAAGCACATCTTCGACGTTTAGGGGCAGTTTGCATAACATAACGAAAATCTTGTGCGTTAAGTGGTTTATGGTGAATTTGAGAAATCGCTTAATTAGAAAAGCTTATGTTCATAGTAAACAAATTTGATCTGCCTAGTAGGACCTATAAAAAAGAATACTTATGTGAAAGCAAAGTATGTCTAATATGGCGAAACTAATCTTCGTTAAACTAATTCCACACGTTGACGAAAACGTAATTGCGAAGAGAAGCTGAAATTTGTACTGTGTGAAAATTTCTTTGGGAGAAATTTTTATTTTTGTGTTTTATATTTTCTATGAAACTAGAAAGTAGTTTCATATTTTCTTTTCATTATCTGTTTCCATGCAATGCTTCTCTCCTGAAAAAAAAAATGGGATAGATGATTTAATATTTCATAATATAATAAGTGTCATTTTCTTTACATACCATTTCATCAAAGAATATGTCGTGGGACAATGATGGTGAATCTTTGATCGCCGGTTTTATCGACTTCCGTTATCGTTAGTAACAGGGCGCAATTTCCATTTGGGTTCCATTAAAACTCGACTTTGTCAGCTTGGAAGAAACTTTTACTGGCTAGTGCTTGTTGGTTTTCGAAAGGATACTTGAACATTTTGCCAACCGATGGTTGACCTTGTCCACCACCCATCCTTTGACACAACACATGATAAGTACTGATCATCGGTGACATACTGTAGGAAACAATTTTCGAATAACTTATTCCGTTTACGATTCGCTCGAAATTCAAATTTTCGTAGAAAATTACGTCCGTGTTTGTGATTCCCTGAATTGAAGAAAAAATATGTAATTGGTAACATAAATCTATTTGATGCTATTTTAATACTACTACTATTTAGTCAACCACTTTTACTGGTTTTTCTGCAACTATTTTTACTTTATATCTGATTTTAATACAGAAAAATGTCACGCCAAAAATTGTAACTTTCTGTGTATGACAACAATACCTTTAAAAAATATTGTTATTTCCTAAGGTTACTAAATTGTCAATTGAATCATTTTTTAAATAAGCTATTTAACAATTCTCTTTAAGTAATAAGTTTCAGGCTAAATAGATTCTCGAATTTTAATCCCAGCGTGTCAAATAATGCAATCAGATCAATCAAATCAACAATGCAACTCTAACAATGAGTGATGAGATCTATTTAATTAGTTGTTGATGAATATTGAAGTTAATTTTTTCATTTTGCTTTTTGTTGCTGATTAAAAAGATACTATTAATTTTAGATTTCTTTTTGTAGAATATAAGATACCAATCAGAAGATGGACATGGGAGATTCCAAACAAACTTGAATTGAAATAGATTTTATAACCAAGGAACGGGCACCAGTAAATGAACGCTTTTGTATATTTCAACAAATGTTAAAACGCACGGCATACTAGCGATAATGATTCTTGTACCAATGAAATATATGACTCTTTTTCGTAGCTGTATTTCTATTGGTTCATATTGGTCCCGTGACCATTAGTTTCTAAAATGGCCTATTTTCACCATGTGCGTTGAATGTGTGTAAAGGTTAGAAGATTTAAAGAAATAGATAGGAAAAAAAGATTTTTTTTTGAATGTCAACAATTTCAAAATAACATCAAAGAACCCTTTAACAACTTTCCATAAACAAGTCAAAACGTTATAAAAGATTCTGAAGATACAATCTTAAAACTGAATAAAAACCCTAAATCACTGTTACCTATGAATCCCAAAATACTACGCTTGTACCTACTGTTTCCCAAAATTGCATAAACCAAATGTGCCTATTAGACCAATAATATCATCCATTGACTCTAGCACTTATATGATTTTAAAATTTTTAATAAACATATTTGGAGACATCACTGATTTTACAACGAAATATACAATAAAAAACTGGAAACAATGTATGACAAAAATCGAGAAACTGAAACTTCTTAAAGAATACACTATGTTATCATTTGATATTACAAACCTTTATACAAATATTCCAACCCCAGATATATTAAAAATTCTTAAGAATATACTGGAGGAGAAAATCAACATTAAAACAGACAGTGGAAACATATACAAATTATTCGAAATATGTATAAAACAAAATTTTTACAGCGTTAACAAACAATACTACACTTATAACAAAGGCCTTCCAATGGGATCACCACTTAGCAGACTGTTAGCTGACATTTTTCTGCACAATCTAGAGAATGAATTGATCATTAACAACAGGAATCATCATAGAAATAACATACTTCTTTGGCAAAATATGTCGACGATGTCTTTGTTATCATAAATACAGAAGAAGGAGACATACTTAAGGAGCTGCATTCATATATTAACACATCGCACAAAGCAAAACAATTCACATTGGAGACGGAAAAAGATAACAAAATAAATTTTGTAGCCTTGACTTTAAAAATGACCAATGAAGGAATACATCTAGATGTTTATAGGAAAAAGACACAAACAGACATAATAATTCCAGAAGACTCACATCTTGATTACACACAAAAAATGGCTGCTTTCGGGGCATACATTGACAGAATTTACAATACAAAACTAAATGAAGACGAAATTAAGAAAGAAACAGATATGTAAAGGTAACGGCTATCACCCCGAAATTATTGACAGAATTATAAGCAAAAAAAACAAGAAAACACGCAGCAATCTAACAACATTAAACCTACAGAAGGAAAACAAACAATAATAAAACATACACAGGACTATAACTTTTCAAGGAGACATTAATAATAAATCGAAGAGGATTTTTGAAAAATATATCAATAAACTCACCTCAAAAAGCAATAACACAATAAATCAATTGTCGATGAACAACAAGGACAAAATCGAAAAACTCGACAACAATGGAGTCTACAAACTTATATGTGA